ATAGCCACTGCAAGGGAGGCGCGTGGGGGGGGGGGGGGAGACGGGAAATTACTGCCGACGACATATTAGCGTTTGTAGATAGATTTTTACCCAGAATGCAAATGGAAAAAAACCGTGAGCGAAACAGTGACTGGTACTGACTAGTATATATTCCATTGAGGGAAACCAAGTTTCATATCTGCTCAAGAGCGCCCCTGGTGGTTGAAGAAAAATCCACATATATATGAAAAAAAAAACACTGAATGCTCTCTGGTATTGTTCAGGGGGCCGGACCAAATGAGGAGGCGGGCCGGATCCGGCCCACGGGCCGTAGTTTGAGGGCCCCTGCTCTAAGCTAAAGCCAGCCACCACCCTTCGCCACCAGACGGCGCTCTTTGACTCACCGTCGTCGTTCACCAGCACCTCCTTCTGGCACATGTCCTGGACGTTGACGGTGCAGTTGACGATGAACTCGGGCGCGGCGCAGTCGTCCGTCATCTCACACTGGTAGCACTGGATCTGGAGGGCCAGGCCTGCAACACACACAGACACACACTGCAGTCCCTCTTCAGGCAGGAAACCAAGACCCAACCGCCGGGAGGAAGCAGGAGCGGAGCAATGGAAAAGCTCAACTCAAACTGAACTCCGAAAGTTACAGAAACATTGAAAAAAATGTTTTTCAATGTTTTCAGACTTTGAAATTTTTATTTTATTTTATTCAAAAGCCAAAACTAGTGTTGGAACGTGAAGAGCTTCATGACACATTTATGTCATCATCTTTGTTTCACTTAATTAACTCTCGTCTGTTTCTGTTTTTTCAGACCCTCCGACAACTGACTGAAAGTAAAATCTGATTTTAACCGTTTAGTGTCTGTGGCTGAGAGGAGAAGATCAGGATGTTCAGTTCGCCATGTGAGGAAAAATAACAGAGGAGTTCCTCAGGGTTCCCGGTCCCCCGGGGTTCCTGGTCCCTAACGGTTCCCGGTCCACCAGAAGCATTAATAATGAGAAGCTGCTCAGTCCATAACCCTCATCAGCTCCCTCACTTTTATTTTCATTTTAACTACCAGAACTTCCTCTTCATCAAAATCAAGATTTGAAATAAGAAGTTTCAGTTAATATTATTATTAGTTTTAAATCGTTCAGTATTTTTGTTTCTCTAGTTTATAAGTGGAAATGAAAACTAATCTGCAGACGTTTCTCCCTCATTTGCAGCAGATTCTCTGATTCAACTCACCTGGTTGTTGCGCGCAGAGCCACAAACAATCAGAACCAGAAATAAAGGTTCGAGTACAACCAGACCGGGTCAGAACCGGACCGGATCCCAACAGGAAACATCCATCACCGTTCAGACTGATCCCTCCACCTGCAGCTCTGATTTGCCTCAGAATCCAAATCCCGCCGCGTTGGGAAGTTACTTTGGGAATTCCGGGAATGTTGCGGTGAAAGCTGCGGTTCCGTACCTGAGCCGAGGAGGGACATCAGCAGAGCCGAGACGGTCCGGAGCCGCATCCTGCCAGCCGGAGACTCGGAGACACGCTGCGCTCCTCTTCCTCCTCCTGCTCCGCTCCGAGTCCCGCGGCTGGCGCGCGGCCATGCGCGTGCACGCCTGCCTCATGTACCACGTGATCCAATCAATCATCACGGCTGTTGCTCCTTAATAAGATTTTAATGCACTTACACATTTATTTCAGGCCCGAAAAGGAGAAGAACCAAAAATATAATTTTTTACTTGATTTTAAAGTAAAAAATGTTCTCAGAAATGACTAAACGCATTAAATCAGAACAATAATTAAATAAAAGATAATTCAGTGATTTGCCATGTGGGATTCACAGTACGGCTCATCACCAGGGCAGGATCACACACAGGGGCGGCAGCAAAAGGTTAATCCATCCATCCATCCATCCATCCATCCATCCATCCAGTCATGTTGGAAAGCATTATGTGAATCTAAACATCAAGAAATTAAGATTTTCTTTTAACATCAAGTCTCATTTGAACTTTGAGTCTCCTGGTGGATTCTTGTTCTGAATAGAGGCTGTAAACTGGGACCACTGGGTGGAATTTAAAGTTTTCGCATTACATCAAAGGACCAACGCCCCGTGAGCGCGCCCTGGTGGCCAGAATATTACAAATCAATAATGACCAGGAAGTGATGTCACACTCAATTCACTGAGTAACGCTAGCAGAGTCTAAGTTAGCATTAAAGGCTGTTTTGATGCTAATCACGTAATGGAGTTTGCATCCAGCATGCTGAGGTGAGTGAACCACCCGACCCAAACGCTGCAGACTCCGGTCGGTTCTGATTCTGTTTCACAGACCCGTTTGGATCCGACTCCAACCGCCAGCCGGATGAAAGTCCAGCAGGAAAACTGTCCTGTGGCAGGTTCCGCTTCGCCTCAGGTTCCGGTTCTGCCTCAGGTTCCGGTTCTGCCTCAGGTTCCGGCTTCGCCTCAGGTTCCGGTTCTGCCTCAGGTTCCGGCTTCGCCTCAGGTTCCGGTTCTGCCTCAGGTTCCGGTTCTGCCTCAGGTTCCGGCTTCGCCTCAGGTTCCGGTTCTGCCTCAGGTTCCGGTTCCGCCTGAGGGATTCCCTGAACTGGGCTCGGTCCAGATTCCTCCATGTTGTAATTCTGAACATTAATAATCAAGTTTTCAGCCAAACAGCAGAAACTCCACTGATCAGATTTAATCAGATTTTGGGCCAAACTCTGTTTCTGTTTTAATGCGTTTTATTAAACAGGTTTATTATATAAAACTATAATAAACCTGCATCAACAGCCTGAAGCTGTTAACTTCCTTCCTTCTTCTCTGAAGGATTTTCTCTGGATTTTGACTCATTTTCATTGTTTTTGTTGTAAAAAAAAAAAGAACAAACCTCCAAACTTCAGGGATTCTTGAGTCAACACATCAAATAAACAGTAAATAATCAGTTTATTATATTTACTTAAAGAAACGTGTCTGGGAAAGATATCAGTTTAAATTCAGTCCAAGTTCTGATGAAGGAAAAAAAATAATCTAATTTTTTGTATTTCATTGAAAGAAATGGGAGTAAAATGTGAGCAGCTTCTGGAAACATAGATCTGTGAATCCCACTGATTTCAACCGGTTCCGTTTTACAGTCCAAACAATCCGACCAGTCAGGCAGAAGTACTGAAATAGTTTATTTCTGTTTTTTGGACATAAAACAAAGATTACCAGTCTGAGGTTGCTACGGTGACCGTTACACGAAAACATCACTGCAATTATTGGATTCAGAAAAAACAAACACTGCAACAGTGAGACAATATGTGCAATAAATGTTCAAACACTCTTCAGTGCTGACTGACAGACGTCTGAGTAAATGTTAGAAAAATACGGGCGCCGTTTTCATCATGCTGCATCCGCCCGGATCAGAACCAGCGCCTGATCCTACGCTACGGGTTCTACACAGAACTTATTTTACTTTGAAAAGTCCCGATCCGGTTCTGGTCTCTTTACATTTCATAAACAAAAGTCAGCTTTGCTTTGTCTGAAGATTTGATTTAAATCATTAATTTAACCAATCGTACCTCAGATTTATTAACGGTTTCAGTCCAGACGTGCTGCCGGACTGATTATCGGTCAGATCTACTGGACAATTCCAACAAGATGATTCATATTTACGTTGTTTTTTACATAAAGTAGATAAATATTAACTGGTACCATAAAAGCACAATAAAAAATGCTTTACCTCCAATTCCAAATGAAACGTGATTATAAATAACGCTGAGATGCAGGTGATTCTCTGAAGTCTGTGCCTTTTGGGTCTCAGGTTGCTAAAAATATCCCACAAAAATTGTTTTTGAACACTGCATCTACTGAACCTCCAAGAAAATGTGTCTCCCCACCTTATGCATGAAATCCCAGACATTAATACGAATTTCTTAAGTTGCTTTAAATTCAACCCCGTAACGGGACAATTTGATTCCTGTCAGTATAACTGCATAACATAATTAAACTAATTCTGTTATGCAGATGTGACTATTAGAACTGATTAGTTCTGACATCACCTGTCCCTGATTAAATTAACTAATTGTAAGTATATTTTATTTGATTCTGAATCATAATAATTGGACTGATAAGTAGAATATGGCAACTTGATGTAAAAGCGCTTCTCATGTTTTTGAATCATTCTTTAAACTTTGCATACAGTCCAACAAATATTAGTCTAATATTTTGCTGTTATTATAGAAAAAATTACAACAATGTATCGCGTTGCGGGTTGAATCCACCGGCTGGCTTCACAACAGTCCATCCCTGGAACAAAACCACTGTTTCAGAAACGGGGTTGAAGATTTTCACTAAAAGTTGCCATAAGTTCAAATCAGCTGGGGTATGGAGCAACAAACAAGGAATTAATATACTTTTCAAAGACCATTCTTTACTTTTTCCCAAACAACAATAAATATAATTTACATGCATAACAGAGCTGAAAGGCTGAGCTGGACGAATAACCAAATATAGGTAAAAAACTTTCCTAACATTTAATCTCTTTACAGTGTGAGCAGGAAGAGACTTCAGTGATGTCACTTCCAGGGTGCAGAGGAAATTGGACTGAACCATTATAATTAGTATGCTGTTACAGGGTTGAACAAAACTGGAGGGACAGGATTAAAAAGTGCTATTTTATATATAATTCATATATTTTTCTCATGTTTCTTTTATTTGGGTTAAACTAGACCAAAAAATGTTTATATTAGTAGAAATAACTTGCAGTTACTGGATATTTTTATTTGTTTTATATTAATTGAAAAATGAACATTGGTCAGTGGGGACATGCTCGTCTGGCTGATTTCTACACTTCAACAAGCCATAAATTTTTTTAAAACATGATTTTTAAAATATATTTGCATATTATATTACCAAAACACATGGATGTTTCCATTTCTTGATTTTCTCTAAAAAAATTTGTTTGCATTATACGAAAATCTTTGAGATAAACCTGAGACACAAAATGCACCGAATTCGGAGAATCACCCTGCAGCGGTGGGCACCGCTAGCTACAGAGCTAGCTACGCTAACCGTAAAGCAATAATTGGAAACATTGGTTCCACTAATGCTGAAGCGCTACATCAACACATTATTCAGTGGAAGCTAATGCTAACATGCTACATCAACACATTATTCAGTGGAAGCTAATGCTAACATGCTAACTTCAACAATGCCAACAGTAAAATGAGTGCTGTAGCATATCATAGCGCCTACTGGGCTAATTGTGTGGCCTTCCTGTACAGTTTGCGCTTCAGGAAGTGATTCTTTGAAACAGTTTTACAGTGGTTGAGTTTTGCTTGTTAACTTTGTTCCAACATTGAACTTTATTCAACTGAAATTGACCAACCAGTTGAGTAAATTATTGCTTTAGAAATTATCTGGAAAAGTTAATTTAGGAGAAGCTAAGTGCGCTAAATGTTTTCGAAGTTAGCAAAAGCATTAAAGAGCAAAAATAATAATTAGCTTTGCTATTAGCGCATTAGCAGAAGGTCACCTGTGCTGTGCCCTCTGAACCAAACACTTTTAAATTTATTCTTTTTAAGCTTTTTAGCAAAAGTTTTTACTGTTTACCTCCAAATTGATGCGTGTGAGGAGTTTAAGAAAACAATCAAAATAAAAATGAATTATTTACTGGCAGCTGTAGCTGATTTAAAGCCGATTCTTTGCTGAGTCATCTGATATTTTTCACCAAAAAACTGATTCAGTCTTTGGGTTTTTCACATCTGAATGGTTCTTAATGTTGGACTTGGAAAGAAAATTATAAAAAAAAATCATCCAAAGTTTTTCTTTGAGTCTAGAACTGCAAACATAAAGAGGGAAACCGGATCGGGACTTTTCCTGCTGCCGTCGCAGGTAACTGGAGAAATCAGCTGAAACATTTAAACATGCAGCGAGTGAGCTACTGGAGCGGGGTGAGAGCGTGCAACGTGACGGAGCGCCGTGACTTTAAATGTTCCAGCAGGAAATGGCTCTGATATGTGGCTCAGCTGCAACCAGAAAACAGGAAACAAGAAGAAGAAACACCGAAACATTATAAACGATTCGATAAAATCGATTTGTTGTTCCAGAGAGTCGGAAAATCCTGGATCTGTTTCCATGTCTGAGCGAATCCACAGCATCTATCAGAAGGTTTGTGGTTCAGTTCCCTGAGCAAAAAGACTCCTAACGAACCGTCCTGCTGATGTCATCACTGTGAAGCGACGATGTGATCACTGTGGCGCAGTGATGACATCATCGCCGTGCGCAGCGTGGAAACGGTTCCTCCGCTGGATGGTTTCGGTCTGGATGAATCAACAAAGTGAAGCATGCAGGAGAGAAAAAGTCTAAACACCAAAATATTCACATCGTCCAGAAGTTCAGCGTTTACACTGGATCCACAAATTAGATTCACATCGTCACGGAAACAGGACATGAGTCATGAAGTCCTGCCTTAAAGGGACAGTTCAGGGTTCTGCAGGGCAGGTGTGAGGAGGCAGTATCTTACCCGTCTCTGAACCAGTTCATCAGTCGGCCATCTTGAAACAACTCTGAAAGCGGTTTATGTAAAAACTCGATTCCAGGTTTTAGGACCCGGCAGTGAGCCGGAGAGCCGGGTCGGAATCGGGCTCTGATTGGCCGGTTCCTCATGGAGGAGGGTTCAGACCAGATGCTGCTAAATGTCTGTAGCATGAATATTAAACATTTGCAGGATTTTGTTTAAGTCATATTTCTGTTAATGCTTAATTTTCTAAACATAATATTCACACCTTGTTTACTGATGTTTTCTTTGTTTTATATTCAGAAACATAAATTAAGAATTAAACCAACAATGTTGTTAAATAAAATAAACGTTTTGACCAAATAACATGATTACATTTTTCTGTTAGGGACTTAAACAGTTTATGATCAGATATTGCATCATTAATGTTAATCTGATATTTCATAACTTTTTATTGGTAACATTAAAACCTGCAGTGATAAAAAGTGAAGATGGTTCATTAAACAATATTTACATGAACAGTTTAAGTTATTTTAAGGTGGCAGAAATCTGAACAGTCGGATACTGACAACTCATCAGCCTCAGCAGAACACCACTTCAATAATCAATAGTCAATAATCCCCTCAGATCCATTTCTGCTGTTTAGCCTCTGCTGTGTTTGAAAGCATCTGAACTTTTATCCTCCAGATTTTCATCTGAATATTTTTCATCCCAAACAGCTGAAGGTCGTTGTAACCTTGAGCTAAAAATCCACGAAGAAGAAACAAAGGAGGACAGGAAGTAGCAGAACCACTTCCTGTGGTTCCTGATCACACTCAGCTTCATGTGAGGAAATAATTCATTTATGATTTCAAAACTCATTCTGATAATAAAAGTTCTTATTCATTAAAAGTTTAATTTGAATGTTATTGTTGGCCGGATGTTTCCGCAGCTTTTTATGCAAATATAAATCTTCTGTAAACTTTCACAAAATATTAAAGCTCATTTTTCCAGCTGAGGTGGATTTAATTTCATTTATGCAAGATAAATAATTTATACATTTTATTGTTTGATTTGTTTGAACATGTGTCTAAAGTTTTTATCAAAATAAATAAGTGTGAGCTAATGCTAATGTTAGCAAGCTAATCTCAAAGCTAATTTTCTTTCATGTTAAATAAAGTTGATCGATGATCAAACCATGAAATAAGTTCAAACATTACAAAAAAATGAAACTTCAATAAATAATGTAACCAGGAATATGATATGCACAGAAAAGCAAAATTAACCTCAACATTAGCATGCTAGTGCTAATGCTAATGTTGAGAATTTTTAAGATCCATTAACAGAATAATTCCCCTAAAATTTCAGCAGTTTGTATTTTCATCAGTTTGTTTTGCAGAGTTTAAGAGATTATTGATCAGAAACTATATAAGAAATTTTAAAGTTTTAAACATTCCAGTAATACATTATTTATCTGCACCGCTAACAGTAATGATAGCATCCGGGAGAAATATTGCTAATTTTGTTCCTGGATGTCTGAAACAGTGAGAGGTTTGTTATTATCAGCTGGCATGCCAGATGAATAATTTATAGATTTTATTGATTGATCAGTTTCAACATTTTATCAAAATAAATAAGATGTGCTATTATTAGCATGCTAACCTCAAAGCTAACTTTTTCTTTCATACTTAACAGAAAATAAAGTGGATTCATGTCCTTCATGGTGAAACTATGAAATAAGTTCAAATAGTGCAAAAAATGATCTGCAATCAAATATAAACACAGAAAAGAGTAGTTAGCCGATGCTAACATTAGCATGCTAATGCTAATTTTCCCTCAGAATTTTAGCTGTTTGTCTCTTAATTATTCTGTTTAGTAGAATTTAAGGTTTTATTATTCTAGGATGATAAGAAATACGTTTTAATCGTAGTAATTGATTATCGTTCATATCACAATAAATCAGGTAGCATCCGTTAGAAAACGGCTCTTCTGTGAGAGACGTTTGTATTGCTAATGCTAGTTAGCCTGATCACTGGAACAAGCAGTGAAATGCTACTGGTTTTAGGACAGGAAACTGGAAAACATTCAGTGTGACGTAAACGTGAGTTCCTACCTGGCAGGTGAGCAGAAAGCACCTGCTGTGACAAGAGCAGCTGCAGGTTTGGTGATTTTGTTTCAGCCAGACTGAAAAAGTAAAACAGCTGAAATCTGATTCTTAAGTTAATGATATGAAGCTCCGATGGAAATGAACCCTCTGCTGTTTATTTACACAATGCTACATTAGAAAGCCGCTAGCTGCCACTTCGTCCTGAGCGTGATGAAGAGGATTTGACTAGAGGAGAGTTTTAGGATTCATCTTCACAGCCAGACGCAGAGCGCTGCAGCCCTGCAACATGTCTGAGAACAGGAAGCAGAGTGTCGTCCTGCATCCTGGTTGGCCGACGCTGGGTGAGGGTTTCCTGCAGCGGATCTTCCAGCTTCAGGATCTCTGCAGTAAAACATGGAGGACAAACGAAGGGTTAACAGGTGTAAACATGAATCCAGTAGAAAACGAACCGTCTGCATCATAATAAAAGCATCTAAAACACGCGGAGCAGTTCGGTTCCAGAAATGACGCAGGATTAAATTTAAATGAGAATAGTTTGTGGTTTTTTATTTCATCATCCTGAAGTTGCATCATGATGTTTTGCTTTGCGTTGAAAAGACGTTGCATCATTTTCATCCCAGCTTTAAATAAGCAAACAAAAATACTGTCCAGATTTGTCAAATCTAGCGCGCCAGTCAGGGTAAAAACACAAAGATGGCCGCCCGCCGTAAACAGAGCAACGTCCTCTTAAAGAGACAGGAGCCCTGAACAAAAACGGCTTCAGAAACTCACATTTAGCTACAACTGCCCCTATGGCAAGCCAATTTAACATAAAATCAGTTTAGTCTCACTCTCTGGAATCACATTCCAAATACATAAAAATGAGTTTTGAATAAAATCAAAAACATTGAGCATCCTGGTTGAAAATGTAAGATTTCTGCTTTTCACAGATCCAAATGCCAAATGACATAATTCATCCTCTGAAGGGTCGCACAACCATAACTACAACTAAAGATTTCTACAACGTACTTATGATGAGTCAAAATTACATAAATCTGCAAAGAATTTCCATTTATTCTCTAAAAAGACAATTAAATTAAAAACAGATTTGAAGAGATCAAAGTTCTGCTGTCGAAACATTAAAAATCTTTTTTAATTTTATTTTTTTATTGAAATTCCAAAATGCTAAATCAGAATAATTATTAAAAGCATCAGTAATGTCATTCTGAACAGTCAGGATGTTAATAATGAAATTGAAAAACTGTTTTATTAAATTTGGAGATTTCTTAATGAAAAGATAGAAATAAAAGTCACAGATTACTCAGTTTTGCTGAGTCATCATGAGCTTTTTGCACTAGTTGAATCTTATATTTCTGTCTAAAAATACATTTAAGATATCTATAATTGTAATTATAACTGGTCAGAACAAAAAGTGAAATATTTTAAATTCACTTTATGTCTTATTTTCTGATATCTGAAATAAATGTTTCAGATGGTAATTTATCGTAGATATTTTGAATTAAAGGTTCAATACAACTTAATGGTAAATCTGATGTCAATTAGTCGGAATATAATTAGAGATAAATTAATTTACTAATATTGACATAAATGAGTTTCAGATGTAAGTGTGGTGAAGCTGATTTTATGTTAAAAGGGCCTGCCGTACTACTGTGCTGCAGTCGGAGGGGGAGACGTTTGGGAACGTTAGTCAAGCTCTCAGCTGCCGGCGGCCATTAAGCTCTCCTCTCTGTGAAGATGGAAATTTAATGGAAAGGCTTTTTTAAGCACAGTTCAGTTTTCAGGTAGCTCTGAGTTTCTGGAGAGGAAACAGTTTGATTATCGCCAGCAGCTAAAGGTTTGAGCAAATCTCTGGGCTCCTGTAGACAAACTGCTCCAACATCCCAAGAATAAAGACCTGCAGGTCCATGTCACTCTGCTCCGCTGTAACCTGGTAGAAACCTGATCAAAACCTAACAATAACCTGATAACCTGATAAAAATCTGATAATAACCTGTTCAAAACCTGATCAAAACCTAATAATAACCTAATAACAACCTGATAACTCGATAGAAACCCAATAACAAACTGATAACCTAATAACAACCTGATA